GGGGGGCGGGGGCTGGCGCTGCCTTCTCTGCAGTCTGTGGGGGCCCTTGGAGAAAAGTGGGGAGGGGTCGGCAGGGTTTTGTCCTGGGACCGGAGCCGAGTCTCACCTGGGCCCTGCCCCGTGTCCGTGGGGGTCTGTGTGGGAAGAGGCCCTGGGGCACGTGCAGGGCATTGTGGGCAGGGCTGTGGGGCTGGGCAGGAGGAGCTGTGCCCCCTCCAGATGCTGTTGTGGGGAATGGGTGCTGTGGGGGCACTTGAGGGCCCCTGGGAGACAGGACCATGAGGAGCTGTTGGGAGACGCTGCCCAGGCTGATACCACCAGGCCGTGGTCTGGGGAGGCCCTGGGGCCAGGTGCAGGGCTCTGTGGGGGGAGCTGTGTCCCCTGTGGATGGTGTGGGGGAGGGCACTGGAGGGACCTGGGCCGACCTGGGTGTCAGGTGGGTGCTGCAGGGCCTGACAGAGGCCAGGGGCTGGCGTCAGCCTGGGGGGCAGGGAGCTGTGTTTGGGGGTTTCTGGAGTGTCCAGCCCGGTCTCCGCAGCCTGTCAGCAGAAGGGGAAGCGAGAAGGACCCTGAGGCTGCTCTGAGTGGGGGACAATCAGGGGCATCAGGGCTGGGCAGACCTCAGGGCTGGGCTGGGGTCACAGTCCTGGGTCTCCCATCACATGGTGAAGTCTGTGCTGTCTCCTTTTCCACAAGGGCCTGGGTGGCTGGACACTGTCGGCAGGTGCTGCGCGTGAGTGCAGGGAGAGCAAGAACCCCGGCCCTGGCTGGGTGAGGCCTCTCCTGTTGGAGACTGTGGCTGCGGCGCTGGAGCCTGTGGCAGCTGTGGCCCTTCCCTTGGCAGCCCTGGTGCAGCCTGAGGTGCAGCTGGAGGAGCAGGACCCGGGAGGCCTCCAGGCAGGAGCTGAGGTGGCCGGATGAGTCCCTCCTGTCGTCCAGGTTGGGACCAGTGGAGGCTCCCAAGGTGGTCAGTACCGCAGGCAGTAAAGCAGCAGCTGCAGGAGCCAGCTGAATGTCAGGAGATGCAGGGGCAGGAGGTGATGCAGACCATGCGCCGCCTCCTGAGCCTGAGATTCCCTTAGAGACCCCACAACTTGCACAGGGGAACAAGCTCCCCATGCCTGAAACCTGGTGTCAATGCTTCAGGGGCCTCTGTTACCTGGAAGATGTGCCAGTACTGGAGTAGGTCCTAGAGCTGGTGGTGCTGGAGCAGTTCCTGGCCATCCTGCCCCAAGAGGTGCAGAGCTAGGAGTTGGGGTGCAGTGTGACTCTGGCTGAGGGGTTTGAGGTGGGGCAGGAGGAGGATAAGAAGCTGCAGGTGAAAACGTTTCACTTGGACCATGGATGATCCTGTCCCTGTCTCCATGTGCTTAGGGGATGTTCCCTCCCAGCCCTGTCTGTCCCAGAACCTGGCTCCCAGTGATATGTTGATCTGGTCTCCAGGTCACAGAGAGTGGGAAGGTGGAGGAACTGTCCTCAGACAAGATGCAGCCCACTGGGACACTGCAGAACCCTGGTCATTCCTGGCCAGAGCAGCCAAACGCCCATCGTGCAGACAGGCCTCTGGAAGAGTCAGGAGAGATGAAAATCCCCTGGCCTCTGGACAAGCCACCTGACGTCCCCCGAGAAGAGCCCCTGCCCCACCAGAAGTCAGGTGAGTTATAGGATGGAGGGCTCTGCATGGGTTTGGGTGCCCGAGTTTCTACCCTGCATGCAGGTGGAGAGGCTTGAATATCTGCCCCTGCCCATGACTGGGCTTCAGAGTTTGTAATTACATGGCTGGCCTGGGACAGGTTTGTTCCCTGTGAATGAGCAGCTCCCAGGCTGGGGGTCCCTGATCTTTCTCACAGCATGTGTGCAGCACCCAGCACAGAGAGGCTTTATCTTGCTTGGGCCTTGTCATGCTGCCATGGTCACAATCAGTGATTTATAATTCATGTTCCAATAGTCCACGTTCACTGGCCCCTTTCTCATGTCCCCATGAGTCCTCTGTGCCCGATAACGGGCTGGTGCAGGTGACAGGGAAATGAGACTCCCCAGTGGCCTCTTGCTGGTTCTGGTACAACTAACCCAGGGCTGCGTCCTGCTGCAGAGTCCCCTGAAACCAAGGGGACCTGGGACCTGTCAGTAGTTGAAGGCTTCTCAGGGTGGTGCCCCAGACAAGTCCCTATCCCAGGAGCAAGTGAGGAGTGGTGGTTCTTCCCTTTCCAACAGCAGGAGGCCCCATCCCTCAGTGGAGAAAACTCTCTTGCAGAACGTTTTGATGGGGTCAGTGCTCCACAGATGAGCAGTTCTTGATCTCCCAGCGGCCCTGGAATCATTTCACATGCCCTTGAGAAGACTGACCTTGCTTTTCCCTTCCCTCGCCCTTAACCTGTGCTGCTGATACAGCTCCAACATCCCTCAAGCTTCTTTCCAGGGAGTGATGTCCCTGCAGGCTCTGATGTAGTGCTGTGATAACCACCTCGCTCTGGATCAGAGTTATTGGGCCTCATCTCTCACCCCATGCCTGTGGAGCTCTGTTAGAAAGAGCTGTGGGATTTTGAGACTTCCTTCTTCCCCCTCTTCCACACACTGAGGCCTCCATTTGCCTTAGTCCGAAGCCAGTCAAGGAGACTAGCAGAGAATTCCCCGTGCCAGCAACACCAAGTTAACCTGTGCATTGTCTTCCCCACCCCACAGGTGCTGGGACCCTGAGCAGAGCTGAGCAGCAGCCTCCTGAGAAGGGGCCTGTAAAGGTGGAGCTGCAGAACACTTCCTCAGGGAGACTGGAGGAGAGGAGCTCCCTGACACCTGAGCCAGGCCAAGTGCAGAAGTGGCAGGGCAGGCCTCTAAAGCGAGAGGCCAGCTTGGAGGTAAGCAGGGCACCCGGTTCAGTTGGGTTTGGGAGTACAGTTGGTTGCGCGGTAGGGGTGAGTGCAGTATGAGCCAGGGGTGCTGTAAAAAATTTGGAGATTCAAGAGACCTGAAGAGCTTCAAGCCTGTGGTGATAGAGGCTGCCAACCCACCAAGCTGGCTTTAGCACAGGGGAGGGCAAAATGGCTGATCCAGTCAGCAGCCCCTGCCCACATGGCTGGGGCCAGTCTCCATGGAGACCTGACCAGCAGCTGTGCTGTGAAAGCTCTAGGCTGGGGTTGCCATGGAGACTAGCCCCAGCCACACAGTCAGGGCAGGGGGCTGCTCAGGAGCCACTGGGATCTTGCGATGTGGGCAGCATGCTCCTGAGCCAGGGCAGAGCTTTGATCTGTAGTCTGCATGCTCCAGGCAGGGGATTGCAGCTCTGCCGCTGCTTCATACCAGGCTTTTACCTCTGGAACAAGCTGGGGCAGGGCCATGATCCCCTGCCTGCACGCCCAAGCATATAAAACGCGATGAGCTAGGCTACAGCCGACACATGAACTCCTGCATCCACATCGCATTTCAGCTGAAGACTGGGGAATTGTGCACCCTTACCTGTCATGGCTAAGATTGCAATTAGTTGCAGTACGGAGTGATTCTAGACAGGACTGTGGGGGCTGGAAACAGCTGGAACAGGAGATGCTGATGGCATAACACTTTTGACTGCAGCTCCAGGAGGTGTTTGAGGATGTGGCTGTGTATTTCACACGGAAGGAGTGGGAGCTGCTGGAAGATGAAGACAAGGTGCTTTACCAGGCCCAGATGCTGAAGAATTACCAAGCCCTCATTTCCCTGGGTAAAAATCTGGTTCTTGCTTCTCCCTGGAGCTATGTGAACACTCGAGTTCTACAGTCACTCCCTGTATCAACAGTCTCATCCTTGTGAACTTTTCCTGTAGGTTTAAATCCACCTCCTCCCCACTCCTGTCAGTGATCAGACCACTCTTGCATTTCATACTGATATGTCTGCCTTCATTTGATCCAACCAGCTTCACTTGTGTCTTCCCCATTTATGTAACTCCTGGTTCTTTTAGATGCAGCAGTTTCTTGGCAACATGATCTCCCTTTGCCTTTTCAGCATGTTTATATCATCTCCAGTTCATCGTACATAAATGCTCTAAAAGCTGTTCCTTCGGGAATAAGTCTGATTTCCTCCCGGTCTGGCCTAGCGTGTCCTCTCCAAACACATTTAACAATCCTAGCATGCTCGGTTCTGTGATATCTAAATCCCCTTTCACCTCTCGTTAAGATCCAGGAGAAATTAATAGAAAGTCTTGTCAGCCTCTGATGCTACAACAGGGGGATGATGCAGTTCCTCAACTCCTCCTGTAGGGACATACATACACGTGATGTAACCCAGGTACTTCTACGGAGGGGTCAATGGAAGCTTCTGTCCGCATTCCTTCCTAACATCTTCATCTCCATAGATCAGAGACTCTGAATTTGCTGTATTTTTGTTAAGACCTGTGCTCTCAAGTTCCCGCTGCCATTCTCAAGTTTTCTTGTGCTCTTGCTAAAATCTCTCTAGATCAGATGCCCCTCCATCATTGTGGTAAAAAGAAGTGGGCTAGCTGCAGGACCTAGTAAAAACCTGTTTTCATTTCCAGAGGATCTCCAAAACAGGGGCTTGTTCTAACTTGTTCGTAGGGTTGAGGTACTTAGCTTTTACTAGGTCAGTTTGCTTTTGTGATGCTTTCTTTTCCCTCCGTTTCCCCCAGAAGATTTTCTTAGGGAAGTGCTTCAGTGTTTTCTTGAGCTCAACAAAGACCATATAGACCATTTCTATATTCTGGCTTTTCACATGCTGCGAAATGTGTCTCCTTCTGCCTTCCTTTGTCCATATCCGTGACTGCCAGGAGCTTTGTGTTAAACCTTGTAGTACTTGCCAACCTGTGCACTCATCTCCCCTCCTGGTATGATCCTCCCAACGGATGGGATAATTGCTCAGTTGCAACTACAGTTATCAGGAAATCATTCTTTTTTGCCCTGGTGATGATGAATTACTCTGTCTCCCAGAAAAAAGTTTCATTGTCAGTCACCTGTGATACTCTTTCCACTGCCTCAGGTCCTCGCTTTAAACCTTCACTGAGAGTATGCTCATTTCCACTCCTTTTCTTGGAATTCCACTGATAAGATAAATGTTATCCATCCTTGGGTGACAAGGACCATTATCTCTTGAAGGCCTGTCCCTGTAGTGCCATCTCTTTCACCTTAAATGCCCCTTTTCCCTTGTCCATCCAGGCCGTAGTAGACACCTTAAGTGCATTGGATCCATTCCCCAAATCTCAGGTAGTTATTCTGCATCCAGTACCCAGTCACAA